TGGTCTTTTGGAATCTTGATCTTTGGAGTTTTCCTTTGCTTCGTGGTATTCCTTCACAAAATCTTTTATATCGAATTTGGAAAGATCTCCACTGGCCCAAAGCTCCGCAAGGTGCCTTTTAAGGACACTACAATCCTTGGTTAAATGTCCGGTTACTTTATGAATATCGCAATATAAACTTTCATCGCGGACCCAAGTGTTTGACCTTCCTTTTCCTTGGAATTGCTTTCCGACAGTACTGTTGGAGGGTTGCGACCCAAATTTTCTTGGTCCTTTGCTCTCCCTAGGCTCAAACTTCTTGGTAGGGACGGTGATTGCCGGCTTTTCTTGCTTATTTCTTTTGGCAAAATTTTCTTTCTCGTCCTCTACTTCCATCCAATTGTTTGCACGGAAGAGTGCATCTTGAATTGTGTCTGGCTTATGAAGTATTAAGTCTTCTTTAAACCTTGAATCATGTCGCAATCCTTTTCGTAGGGCAGATAAAGCTGATTGCTGTGAGATTCTTGGGAGCTTTGACAGCACTCCTTTGAACTTGGTGATGAAAACTCGAAGTGACTCATTTGATCCTTGCGATAAGTTCCAAAGATCGGCATCCGAAACGCTTTTATCCATAAGGATGGAATATTGCTTTAAGAATACGGCTGATAGTTCGTCGAAATTGCTGATCGAACCCGGCTCTAATTGGGTGAACCACATTAGAGCTTGGCCACATAGATTTTCCGAAAAAAGCTTGCAGTAACCTGCGTCCTCATCAGCTTCCTCCAATTCGACTCTTCCAGCAGCGATCAGAAAAGCTGCTAGATAGCTTTTTGGATCCTCCAATCCGCTATAAGGGTCCAACTTGAGTTTCCGGGAATCTTTGATCCTCAAACTTGCAATTCGCGAGATGAAAGGTGTTCGCCTAGCTTCTTCAATGACTCGATTGATGTCTGGCTCCGAACTTGTAGCTTGATGAAATTTTGATTTCATTTCTTTTAATTCCTGGCTAACCTTCCTCATGGTCTCGAACTGGTCGAGGTTCTCCTGCTCGTATTGAGCTGCAAGTTGTTCTTCATCTCCGAGCTGTGTCTCTTCTTCCAACGTCTGAACTACATTATTAGTAGCACCGAGAGTTGTTTGTCCGCTGGTTTCATTTCGTGCAGCGGAACTTGGCGAGTTGAATATCCCTCTTCGGATTCCCACAAGGTTTTCTGCACTTAAAGAGCGAACACGAGTTTGTATAGTACTGACGTTTTGACTAAGAGATACCTGGGATGTTTGCAACGTATCGACGGCCTTTTCCACATCCGAGAACTTTTGTGATATGTCCGACATGGTTTGCTGCATAGCTTTGAGGGTTTCGGCCAATGATGTCTCAAACGGCGTCTCCTCCGGACATTGTTGCTTATCTCGGAAGTGTAATAAAGAAAAATCTGACCACTCAAGAATCCTATTTCCCCACAGGCGGCGCCAAAATGTGGATGTCGGATTTACACACTCAAGTATTTTTATTAAGTAGGAAAGATTACTCTTGAGGGACAAAAATGAATATGTAAAAACTTGTAAATTGCTACGAAAATTGCTATATTATTTCTTTTCTTCAGAGGAAGATCCCCTTTACATGGCCATTGGCCTTTGTATTTATACATAGGAAAATGACATTAAAATGGCTAATTAAGTATAATTATTCTCTCTTAAATGTGTTCGTTTTGATATTTGGTTTTAATGCTTCAACGTTTGAATTTGAGTTGACTCTGATCTTCATGGGCCCCGCCTTTTGGCCCAAATGTCCCTAAACCGACTCAACCGTGACTTCGATGCCGGACTCATGTCGAAATGCAGTCACTTCGGATTTTCCTTGTGGCGATACCTACTTCGACTGCTCCTTTGGCTCACTGATCCGACGGGCTTTATCCTTTTTGGGTCTTCATCTTGTCTACGTGGCAATCTTTGGTTGGTCCCGGACTTCTGGTGCGGGATCCGACACCAACAATGATGCTAAAACTACAATTAATTTTATTCACATATATAATATCAAAAGCAATTTATTATTGTTTTGACAATATAATTTTTTTATAAATAGTACGACATGTTCAATACTAACCATCATATTTCAAGCCCCACAAATTTTGTAACATTTTTCTATTCACTTAATAGTTTCTAATCTTCTTTTCTTCTTTTTTGCGTATTCTTTTTTTTTTTGTCAGTTCTTTCTTATATTATGTTTGTAGATCTGGATATCCCCTATATATTAATAGAGAAACATTTAAAAAAAAAAAACCTTACTATCATGTGTTATTAACAAGATTGCCACGCTGATGTGTTGTTCTCACAATGATTTGGCTTCTATTTAGATAATTACCCAAGATTTATTAGACTATTTACAGAATTTGCCATTAGTCTCATACATCCATATATCCCATTAATAATTAAAAACATACACTTTTTGTTTATCTTATATTACTATATTTTTATATTTATATATTTTTTTATATACATTTATATAAATTTTCTTTAGCGGATGGGTAAACAATCTTTTTATTTATATTTATATTTATGTTTATATTTAAATGATAAAATATATACATTTGGTTCAAGAATCTCGAATTCAAAACTACAAAATCTTTACATCTTTCATAATTTTTTACTTAAATAAATATGATAATTTCCTTTCTATATATGTTACGAATACTTAAAATCCTATTTTTGGAGGAGTTCTAACTTTTCGAAGAAAAACATTATAACCACATTTGTATATAAACCAAAATCTGGCCACATTATAACCATTTCGTAAATAATCCATTCATAATCTAAGAATCTTAGATTTAGAACACTACAAAATCTTAGCTTGGAAACCATCAAATCTCATCTTTGCTAAATTTTGGATTTCTTATACTTATTAAAAAAAAAAAATTTCTTTTTATACTACAAAATCTCGAAATCTTTAAAACATACGGAAAGACATATTGCTATAAATGGTAACATTTCGTCAATACTTTTTTATCACGTTGAAGCTTTATTCAAGGTTCAAATATTTCACGGGTAAAACATATTCTTATATGAAATAGTCCCAAATTTGAATAAAACAAAAAAAAATTTGTAAAATGTTTCGTTTTACACAAATGGATCTTGGATCCCGGATAATAATTTTAATCATAATAATTTTACTTGAATCACTTCATCCCGCACATCGTGCGGGTTGTTATCTAGTTGTGTATATACAGTAAATTTGTTATCATTGTAGTGAATAGGAAAGATAATTGATCTCTTCCCTTATTCCATCTGAATAAATACATGCATACACAAAAGATACACCTAATTTGATATACTTGTTAGAAAAAAACATCTAATTAGAATCAAACCTCGTTGTTCTTTGCAAATCCCAGATTTTCTCTGCTTTTTCTTGTCTACAAGACGCCATATCCCCTTTGTCTACATGGCACCATCTGTTTTTTCTATTACACATACATTTTCAGATGACAAGTTATATTTTCAGATCCAATGCTTTTTTCCCCCTAATTGAACACACTTTTTATTTCTAAAACACATTACTTTTTTTTATATTTGACACGTTATTTCTTATAAATACATCGAAGTTTCTTCTATATGATAGATGATTTTATATGTCTGGATAGTACATGTGGTTTACTTGAACACAACGTTGTTAATGTTCTTCTTAAAATAACTTTGTCGTTTTGAGGAAATTAAAGGGGTATTTAAGTCCACCAAGTTAGGGTTAGGAGAAAAAAGGGAATCTTGGTTTCGAGAGAGAAAAAGGAGGCGATTTCAATAGATAAAAGAGAGTAGGTAGTGGTTATGCAAAATTCATAATTATGAAGCAAGTGAGGTCAAATCCGACTCTAAATCATGAATTTATGTAGTCCGGTACTACTTTTTCGTAGAGTAAATAAGGTACATTGACGTAGTTAGGGGTTATACAAAAAATCGGAGAAATTGAGTGAGATATTAATTCGATTCACATGAAAAAATTTGTTGATTTTGAGTAGGCTTATAAAATAAATGGAATATAAAGACTTTTGTGGAGATATGTTAATTCAAGATTTACATGAATATAGTATCAATTATGCGCATTTTCGAATAAATTTGTGGAACTCATGTTCAATAAAGGCCCATAGTTCTTTAAAATTTTCTTTAACCATAAATAAATCTCTTCTCTTACTAATAAAAAGTAATCATTGAGGCTTCTTAGGCCATCCACATCAGCAAAAGTTAAATCATTTTGGGGAAGCCACGTCAGCAGCAAATCTAAGATAAATCACTCTCAAACCTTTATTATCCTAATAAGACGCTTAAAAAAAATTAATTACAAGCCATTGTATTTACTATTAATGACTCATCTTAAAGCTCTCAAACGTTAGCCCAAATAAACCAAACCCAAAAAAAAACAAAAGCCCAAACAATATTAGCCCAACTGCAGCGCAAAACACCCACAAACTCTTCTTCTTCTACGTAACCCAACAACGGCATTGAAATTAAGCACCATCATTCCCACTAAATCTCCTTAATTGGCCACTCCCCCTTGATTTAAATGTACACTTATTGACATCTTCTCTTCCCAAACCCTATAAAATCTTCCTCTCCGTAATGTAACCATCACCGCCAAATCTTTGCGCCAACCTTCTTTCTCCTAAATTCCCACTTGCGAACGTTCTTTCTCCCCGCAAAAGTCTCATCCAAAACAGAAATATGAATAGACGACCTTACGCATCTCTCTCAAATCCGGATGAGTTCAAATTCTCTGATCGATAATTTAAGGATCGAATCATTGGAGTGGGTTTATGGAGAACTCAAAATTGGGTTCAGTTGGTGTTTCTTGTAGAATTTCTTCTTCGAAGGAGTGCAGGAACACTTTTGTACCTCCTAGGTTAATCTCTTTGTCTCATCCCTTGTAAAACATCTTTAGCTTCTCACTATAACTGTTAACACAAATCTACATTCTAACCATTCGACTTTATCTTATTTGTTTCGTTTGTGGTAGATTTAAAGATATATTAGCGATGACGAGGAGGAGCGGTGACGTTACCCAAGAAAAACATCAAGAAAGTCGTTGATCGAGCTGGTGGCTGGTTGGTTCCGTGAGATGATGGTTGTACGGCACACTCATAAAGGTACATCATTTATCTTTGTTTCTCTTATAAGGGGGTACATCATTTTTCAATCCGTCTATGCTTTTTTTAAGGTTTCGTTTTCCATATTACTACCTAAATTGTGTTTCACGTGTTTTTTTATGTACCTTTGGTGTGAGTAGAATTTTGTTTAACTAAATGAGGTTTTGATTATCAACAAGGTTCAATCGACGGTCTTTCGTAGTGAATTCTGATCTGAACACAATGTTCACTCTTTTCTAATCATCCTCTTAGAAAATTTGGTCCGTCCTTTTACCCTGAGGTTTTCGGCTTTTAAACCCTTGCTTTGTTTCATCTTCTTTGATTTGGGTTTAGATTAATAGCAAATTTGAAAAAAATTCCAACAATAAGCTACATTTGTTTATACTCATTTGGAGTGTTTTGATTCACATGTTTTGGGGAATTGGTGTTGTAATTCTAACAAAGTCAAAGACCATAAAAATGAAGATGTATTACTAATTTGTATTCTTTAACCAGCCTTGGCAGTGTAACAGTCTACTCCTCCACAACCACACGTTTAAGAACAAAGGAGAAGATCTTTCAAAAATTAACGGCAAGAGGAAAAGAGATCTCAAATCTGTTGAGGACGATTGAAAAGAAAAGCTTTTTGGTCCTACCATGTACACATCATTTTTGCAAGACAAAAGAAACAATTTAATGAATCCTCATGGCATTAAGCATTTTTAACATTCTATATATGTCCACCAAAAATTAACTTTTATTTCTCCAGTATAGTAAAAATGAAGACATTTCATTTCATATTTAATACCATGGTTTCCGTCTATTTGTTTAATAGCCTTCTAAATTCAATGATGTAAGTTTGGTGTTATGCTCCCTAAACCCAAAAAAAAAGAACAACGTAAAGGTATACTCTCCATTTTTCACGTTCATGCTAACTCATATATACAAACATGCAAGGTGTGATATTTTGTAACACTTTGTAATATATGATTCTACAAAACCAAAAAGGGGCTTAATATGGTGTAGTGACAGAAATTAAAATAAATTAACTAATTCAAAGAGACAATGGACGCTTCTAAGAGTATCTAGAACATCAGCAAAATGAAAAACATTTTAGTCTAAATCACGTTAGCTAACCCTGGACAAAAATATATTGAGTTTCAGTGTAATTGCTTATAAGCTCAAGCGTTCTCAGAATTATGACTTCTAGATAAATTTTGAACATCAATATTATCCAAATATATAAAATAACATGCCCGGGCGTAGTCCGGGACTTCTCGAAGTGTAACTAAGAGGATAATCATGTTTGTCGGCCGCCTAGGCCTTAGTGAAGCGTATAACTCGATATTCTATATATGATTTGATCATGTAAGATTTTTCTTTCGTTCCTCTGTATAAGATTCTATTTCTTGTTTCATAATTTCTATTCTTCTAATCGGTGTTTATGTCAATGATAAAGAATCGTGGAGGCTATAAGATATATATAGACAAGATCAGTGAGTTGCCTGATGAATTGCTCGTGATGTGGTATTATTGTATCTCCCAACAAAAGTTGTTGTAAGCACGCGTATCTTATCAAAGTGATGGAAGTTTAATTCTTTGGTTGTGGTTGACGAAGCTTGAGTATGGTAATAGCTATAATTCACAATCTGAACGCTATACAATGTTTTCTTAATTTGAATTTGGGATTACATAGAGCTCTCTCTTAGGAGATCTCGGGGATTACGAGATCGACTTGAAAGGAAAGTTAACATTTGTATAATATATTCTTATTATTAAATTAGTAGATTTTCTATTATCATATATGTAAAGAACTTGCTAATCAAGTTATGATATTTGTATAAATAAGCCTATTGGCTAATGAATAAAATTGAGAGAAACTATTTTACTACTAAGGTTTCCTCCAAACTTATCATGGTATCAGAGCTTTGATCCTATTCATGTGGGTTATAGTTCTCTTACGTTAGCTTCCGCGTTTGAAAAAAAAAAGAAAATTTTTAAGCTTCGTTTCTTTGTTTTGGAAAATCAAACACACTTCATTGATTTTCTTTTATTTCTATTTTATTTGTTATTAAAAAAAAAGAGAGAGAAGAGAGACGTGTTCATCGTGTCGGTGAATTACGTTGTTGAATTGGCTCAGTTAGTGACCTCGATTGATTTTTTATTAATTAGCAAAACTTGCTAGTTATTTGAAGAAGAAGAAATCCTGAAGAAGAAGACGTTGTTCATATCACACACTACAAAAGATGATATAAACAGACGATTTACTTTGGTAAGGATGATGACCAACAAAACCATATGGTTATGTTTGGTTTTTAACCGGTCTTCATGTGGTTTTTCGTCTAACTACGAAAAAGATGGAAGCCACGAAGATAATTCTGACGGATACGATGCTGATCCGGCGGTGACGAATTCGAATTCGACCATGACTACTACACAAGTTTCTTCATGAACAAGAAGTTCAAAAAGCGACCAAGACTTGCGATCTAAAATCGTTGGAGATACACAACTACTAAAGTATCCTCCATTGAATTGATGACCTTATGGCGAGGTATAAACGCCATTGATAACCCTATAGTTGGTATGAAGACCGTGAAGATGATTGTCCAATCTCATACATGTTACCACGTATTAGTTTGCTGGAGGGTGTTAGGAGATCTCGGGGATTACGAGATCGACTTGAAAGGAAAGTTAACATTTGTATAATATATTCTTATTATTAAATTAGTAAATTTTCTATTATCATATATGTAAAGAACTTGCTAATCAAGTTATGATATTTGTATAAATAAGCCTATTGGCTAATGAATAAAATTGAGAGAAACTATTTTTTTTTTGAGATAAACTATTTTACTACTAAGGTTTCCTCCAAACTTATCACTCTCGACATAGAAAGCATATGTCTTATGTTTCAGAGTGATTGCCTAATAGATTGTAGGGAATTTTGTATAAACGTAAGACTCAAGCTTTCTATATGACGGTAGCTATATGTAATCGCATATTCAAATTAAGAAATTAAAACACTGTAACCTGTTCAAATTGTGTATAATTGTTGTCATCATACTCAAGCTTAGGCAAACACATCCAAAGAAACCTCCATCGCTTCGATTAAATACTCGTGCTTATAGCAATTTTTGTTGGGAGAAATAGTATCTTAACGAGCAATTCATCAGCCAAATGATTGATCTTATCCATATCTTACAATCTCCATGATTCTTTTATCACTGATGTAAACACTAACTTGAAAAGTACAAATCTTGGGTTCCGTTCAAGTAAGTAACCCAAAAGAAAAGTCACAAAACAAGCAAGAAATAAGACAAGCAATAATAATACATAAGAAAGAAAGAAAATCTTAAATTATGAAATCTTATATAGAGAGAATCGAGTTATACGATTTCATAAAGGAAATCATATATATGAAAGAAAGTGAACTCTCTCTATCATTCCGCCACGTCAGCGCATAAGAGAAGGACACGTGTACAACTTATACTTTTAATAATCACATCTTATATCTAAACGTATAAAGAAAGCTGTACATCGAAACCCAATCAACAAATCCCTTTTATGATCATCATCTCACTTAAATACAAACCAATCTGGAGAGTAGATTCGCAACTCTGTTTGGCATCGATTCTGGAGGATTTTCTAAAGCGAGGAAACATTTGAGTTGGCGTTGGTGTCCATTCGAGTTCGAAAAAGCCATGAAACTTGTTTTTTCGTCAATTCGTCTGTTCTTTTTATTTCTCTTTCTGTTAAGAGTTTGAGCCCAACACTTTCTCCCCTTCCATCATGTTTTTTTTTTCTTTTTTTGTGATCTGCGCTCAATCCGTAAAGCGTCGATGTGTCATGTGTATACTATAGACGTTTACGTAACATGATCATGGACCATGACTTATGAACTGTGATAAGAAGGTTTAATCGCATGTATGAAAACAGAAAAAATGATTATGCAAATGTGTAATTGTTGAAACTGGTTTGGAAAATAAATTTAGAAATTAACCGAAATTGCTTGAAGTATACTGGAAAAATTTAAAGTGAATGATTCTCTGTTTAAAAATCATTCTATTGAATATTTGATTGATTCAAGTTAATGCTAAACTTTTTTTCTTTTGTTGATGCAAAGTCAACTTTTTGATGGAATCTTAAGCTTCTCTTTTGGAGTTTGTATATGCCCATTTGTTTTAAAGTTATGTGGATGCTGAATCAGATTTTCTCTATCTAGAGAGGTTTTAAGGCGTTTTAGAGTGATTGAGAAACTGTTAAACCCATCAAGCTCGACTAACACATTGTTAAATCTTGATAAAGGGTTTCAACACTCTTCTTTGTTGTCTTATTGGATGAAAGGTACGTAGAGTCTCTGAATACTACAAGAAGCAAGAGAGGCTCCTCGAGGGTTTCAATGAGATGGAGACTGTCCATGAAACTGGTTTTCCAATTGAGGTCTGGCCTCTACTATTTTTCTTTAGTTTTTTCTTATTGTATATCTCTTTGAGATGAATCCTCAATCTTTTTGGTTTCAACAGGAAGAAATGAAGAAGCTTGCAAAGAGTGAGAGACTGGCATAAGCAACATATATGGTGCTTTTTATGGCAAACGTTTATGACTCTATGGAGAGTAGATCCATGGCTGTGATTGCTTCAAATTTGGACTCTCTCGTGGATCTCTTGTCTGGTTTTATTGTCTGGTTTACATCTAATGAAATGAGAAAACCAAACCGGTTTCTTCGACAAAATAGACCTAAACCAGTTACACTATCCATTCGGAAAACGCCGGATGCAACCTTTGGTATGCTTCTTCTGTTTTTCTCTATTAACCCCATTGTTTGGCATTTATTCTGATTCTTCTGACCAGTTTCTTTTACGAACTTACTTGTCTCACAAGAAAAGAAAATTGATAATGATCCACGCTTTAAATTTACAGCGAAACATTGTGTTTGCTTCCGTCATGACAACTCTTGGACTGCAAGTTTTGCTAGAGTCAGGAAGGCAACTAGAAAGACCAAGACCGCCGTACCAACTCGTGGCTCACAAAAAAATGACCATTGGAGTTTTGTAGCTTCGTCCATTTCGTGGCTTTTCTGTCTTCCACTTCCTTCTTAGGGTTTTATAGTTCAGCGTCTCAACAATTGCCTCTACAAGCAAATAAATCATAACTCTTAACAACCACACACATCCCTCTCCAAAATTTTTTGCCACTCATTGTAATCGAAGTCGTAAGTCAAGTAAGCATAGCCACAGGTCTAGCAATAGCTTCGACTGCAACACGCCTCCATAAATTTGACACATAGGTTAGTCGAACTTCTCTCTTTATTGTATATATGTATGCTGACAACTTAATAAATGTGAGGATTATTGGATTACAGAATAGAACAAATGACGAATTTGTTTCGTATAAGAACAGGGTGTCTTATGTCCAAAAAAGAAGAAAAGAGAGAAGAAGGATTCTCTTACCATATCAAATAATCTCTCAGATATGCGGACGTTCCTTTCACCGCGGCCATGGCAGCTCTCTGCCAAACTCCTCCCGATGGAATTTTGGGTGGTTAAGCGACAATGGGCTTCAACAAGAATCCATGCTGCTTGTTTCTCTCTTTACTCTTAAGAGATAATGGTTGTTTCTCCTTTTTTTAAAAAAAGTAAGAAACTTCAATGATATGTATATAAACTCTGTTTATTTTTAGGTTTTCCTCAAGCAAATAATTTTAATCCAAGTCTGCTTGTAATGGTTCATTGTTTTTTCTCTGATTCTAGCATCTAAAAGTTCTCGTGTTTTTTTTTTTAATCTTTTGGCATGATTGGTGTTTAG